CATTTGCCTCCTGATTTTGCTGATAGTGGGTTTTTTTCAAGTCTAAGTTCAGATAATATACATATATATTTCACATTATTTTGAATCTTTCAATATATTATAAGATTCAAAATAATATGAAAACAGAGTTGGCTGTAAGCACAGAAACCATAAAAAAGTAAATTTTACAAATCCAGATTTGAAGGGGTGAGGAAGGAAACTGGTTAAGAGAGAAGCATCTAAGTTGTACATTGATGTTCCTTAAACAACCAGTTTTTCAGGCACAGGTAGAAGTCTCATTGGCAGATGTCTGAACTCTAAGAAGATATGAAAAACACAAGTGGCCATCAACCAGCTCAGGTCATGGGGAGGAGGTCATGGGGAGGAGGTCAGAGCCTGCACGGTGATATCAATATGCGATCGGCACATGTAAAGGCATGCAGGAGAAGTGCTTGCAGGTGACATCAGAGGAAACAGGAAAATACCTGTTAGTCATAGGAAGCAAAGCAGGAGGTCAGTAAGGCTGTTACTCCTGAAAAGGGACATCTGATAACAGGTTGTCAAAACAACCAAGCCTCTTTATTGATTATTTTAGCTCTCTTTTAAAACCGATCAGAGATAAGCAAAGCAAATGTCAATTTTGATGGGAGACGGGATAATTTATCTATAGTGAGAAGATCATTACTGAAGATGTTTTCTTCCAAACCTAGATTTATTTCTTCTGTAGGGCATATTGACATACTTCTTGGGGGTGTATAGGAAGAAGACTCATAGAATATTGGTGTTGGAAAGGTATCAGGGTCATCTAGGCTGGAGAGTGCAAATTGGTGGCCTGTGATCAGAGTTGGCTTCAAATGTGTTTTCTTTGGCCAGTTTCGTGCTGGCCCATAAAGTGTTTTTAAATTTTTTGAATTAGTCATCAATATTTTAAAATCAGATGATTTCATGTGAAGATGATTTCTTTGCTTCTAAAATATTGAGAATCTGGCCACATTGGGCTGTACCCTTCCCATGGCCACAGTGGCTGAGAAGTACCTTCCCCACTCCCTCCTTCATCCCTCTGGGACATGTGTTTTGCAGTTTTCCACAGTTACCACTTCTCTCTAGTGTGTCCCTGACATTGAGACTGTCGGTCACCATTTATCCCAGTTTTAACTGTTGTTTTTCTTTTCTTGAGGTTAAAGGAAAGTGGATATTTCTTAAACTTGTTCCTCTCTCTAAGTGAAAATGTGAAGGGTAGACCAAGAGGATGACATGTCGAAGGAAAAACAGTGGAAAGTATTTTGGAATCAAAGACTATCCTATTTAATGCAGCAGACCTCTGTGTCGCAAGGATTTATCTTAGGACACCTGGACCACTTTGCTCATCTGTGTTACCCGCCTGGTCTCTGTAGGCATTTTGCTGCAACTTGCGACCAGAATCACCTTCTTGGTCTAATAGCTCAGAGATATGTTGACACTTTCTCTTCTAAAAAATCATGATAGGTTACTGCCAAGCCATTGCTATTTTTTCTTTGAGGGATCAAGTGAGATATAGGGGCAATGCTTAAAAGAGTAGGAGCTTTAACTTGGTAGTGAGTGGATTTTTATAAGAATTAGTGGGCAACCAAACATTTAAAAAGAAAAAAGAATCAAAAACATCAACTTATTTATAGACTCCTAGAACACAATGTTACAGCTGCCATAGCGCTGTCGAAAGCAGAAGAGGCCAAACCAATTTACTTTCTTGCTCTGATCAAAAGTAGGAAGATAGCAGATAAGGGGAAGCAGTAGAGATAATATATATGAATCAGAGCAGAGCTTCGGAGTGTTTGCTCTGCTGCTGCTAGTTAGGGGTTGTAGGAGACAGAGATCAAAGGAGCAGCTTCTTACCAGAAAGGACATGGGATCCAGGGAGGGCACGAGGGGGTTGGGTTGACCCCGAGGAGGCTTTTGGTCACTGGGAGACATGAGAAATGGCCCATGTCCTCTAATTCACTGAACCCTGTTTCTTCATCAGTTTTCCTTGCCTGTCTCATGAGATGGTTATGAAGATAAAGCAAGACAACACATGCTGAAGAATTGTGAAACTGTGGAGGGCCACAGATTACAGATGAGATTCCAGAAAGAACTTAAGAATCATTCCCCACAGCCAGTACATCAGCTGTTTTTTTGGTTCCATCCCCCACATCTATCTGAACTTGTCTTCTCTCCGCCGCTCTGCCACCATTCTGGTGCATGGTACCCACCACGCCCTTGGCCTGGAGTCCCTGCAGGTGCCTTCTGACTGCTCTCCTAGCTTCCACCCTTGCCTCTCCAACCCATTTCACATGCTGCAGGAGAGGGATCTTTATAAGTACCTAGGTGACTAAAATCCTCCAGTAGCTTTCCATTGCCTTTCAGATACTTTGCCGTGACCTGTAAGGGGGCCCTTTGTCACAAGGCCCTCCCACCTCTGCTGCCTGCCCCACCCCTGCTCTTCAACTTCACTCCATTCCTCAGTCCATCGGCTCTTCCCGCAAAGGGCCTGCACTCCGCCCTCACCAGCCCTCTCCCCTTGCACACCTTGACTTTTGTGCCCCTTCCTGGACCACCCTTCCTCGACCACCCTCTGCTCTTTGTTATTTCCCCCTCAGTCTCAGTCCACGCCAGAGCACTTATTACACCTGGGCACTGGTATTTGTTTTTTATTAAATTATGGTAAAATACACATAATACAAAATTTACCATCTTTACCATTTCTGAGTGTACAGTTCAGTAGTATTAAGTGCATTGTTGGGCAACCAGTCTTGCAAAGCTGAAACTTTGTACCCATTAAATATCAGCTCTCCATTTTCCTTTCCCCAGCCCCTGGCGACCACCATTCTCCTTTCTGTTTCTGTGAGTTGGACTGGTATAGGAACTTCATATGATGGGATTGTACAGTATTTGTCTTTTTTTTTGACTGGCTTATTTCATTTAGCATAGTGTTCTCTAGCTTTATCTATGTCATAGCATATGACAGGATTTCCTTACTGTTTAAGGCTGAATGATATTCTATTGTATGTGTAGACCACATTTTGTTTTTCTGTTTACCTGCTGAGGGACACTTGGGTTGTTTCTCCCTTTGGCTGTTGTGAGTAATGCTTCTATGAACGTGAGTGTACAAATATTTCTTCAGGATCCTGCTTCCAGTTCTTTTGAGTATATACTCAGAAGTGGAATTGCTGGGTCATATGGTAGTTCTGTTTTTAATTTGAGGAACCACCATACTGTTTTCCATAGTGATCCAGGTAAGGAACCACAGGGGCCTGAATGAAGAGAGAGGAATGGAGGAAGACGGGCTGTAAGGGATAGAAAACCATTAAGCTCCCTGACTGATGTCTTTATCTCTAGGCACAGTGCTATCTGCTGCTGTCAGAGTAAACTTTCCAAAACTCAAATTTTATCATTTTCCTGTTGAATTTGATTTCTTTGATGTTTCTATGTTGCCTTCAGGATAAAGTTCACACCTTTTCACATGGCACCCAGGCCATTCACAGCAGCCTCTTCACCTGTCATGACAGCCTCCCCTGTTCCCATAGCACTTCAGCCTCATTCTCTGCATCCTTTGCAGGTGCTGCCTCCTCAGCCCAGGATGCTTCCCCTACTCCCATCCCTGACTACCCCTACTTAATCCTGGGTTTCCTGTTCTCTGTGACCTGCTAGCCCATCACCTCTACCCCAGCTAGAGTCAGGCCCTCATCTGCCTTGGCTGCCTGTGTTGCCGTGTTAACTTCTTGGTACCACATGCTTGTCTGTAGGTAATGATACAGATACATTTGCTTGTCAGTCTTCCAGCAGCCTCTGCATATTTCAGCAGTCCAGTGCCTCTCACAGGTGTTGTCCTTGCCACCCCTCTCACCCCCTCACCACTGCCCACTGTCACATTCTCCCAGTCCAGCGATTTGACTCTCAGAATGACCCAATCAGTTCTACTTCATTCCGTGGCCACCCTGAAATCCATCGACCTTCTGGTAACTGCATCTTAGCAAAGACAGATGACTCATGTGTGTATGACTCAGCGCGAATGCAGCACAGTTGGAAAGATGGCCTGTGTGCCTGCTGGCGGGAGGGGATTTTACTCAGTACCAGAGATCCAGATCTGAGTTCACAAGCTCTTGCAACCCTGTGGCCTGCCAACTGGAAAACGCGGGTGTAAATCCTCCTCTGTCTGTGGAGAAAGAGACTACCTAGCAGAGCTTTATAAGACATCTATATCTGGGATTCCATCTAAGTGATTACTATTAAATAATATTTTAATAAACCACCATTTATTTCATGCTTACACCATGGTTATAGGCACCATGGTAAACATCTTGCCTATAAATTATATATTTTATTCTCACAATAATGTAATTCTCCCAACATCAACAACAGAAACAATAGCAAGTACATGTATAGCAGTTACTTTGTGCCAGGCCCTGTTCTAAGCACTTTGCAGTTATTAATTCATCTAATTCTCACAATAACCCTTTGATACAGGAATTACTTTTACCCTCATTTTACAGATGAGGAAACAGGCAGAGAAAGGTCATGTGTAGGGGTGCCCCTAAATGCCATAGGAAGTAAATGACAGAGCTGTGATACCAACTCAGGCTTTTGGGTCCAGACTCTTAATCTTCACGCTATGCTTTCTCCATGAAGCATAACTGTAATCCATTTTACAGGGGAGGAAACTGCAGCTCAGAGAGGTTGCTCATTTATCCATAGTCACACAGCCAGTGTGATTGAGATCAGTTGTCTCCATCCCCTAGCCTGTAACCACTGTGTTCTCCTGTCCAGACTCAGGAGATACAGTCATCAAAAAGCGTGGTATGCTTGGTTCTCCTTAGTCCTCCCCATTGGCACTTTCCAAGGGCCAAGACTTTGGTTGGGTAGGAGTCTAGGGAAGAAGCTCTTTCTTCTAAGTCTGGGGTTTACAGAAAAAGGGAAGCATTTTCCTTCAGATCTCTTTTCACTTTTGGGTCCCAGAGTGTTTCTTCACACCAAGGATGCTGACGTGGCTATTATTATCTCCTCAGACAGCGAAACCGTGCACTACCACTACGGGCCGAAGGACCTGGTTACGATCTTGTTCTACATCTTCATCACCATCATCTTGCACGCCGTGGTTCAGGAGTACATTTTAGATGTGAGTGACGTGTCTAGATTCTGAAACTGGGGCGATGTCTTGGATTAGAGGAGCCCACGTAGGAGAAAGCTGCAGCTCTGAACTTGTTTGCCCCCTAATCTGCATGCCCTGGTTAGACCTGTTGACCAGATGGTCTCTGTCTCCTCTCACAGCCTTCTTTAGTCAGCGCTTGCAACAGCAGTATTTATTACATGGGGAGAGAGCTGTCTGAAATATGACAGGACAGCGTCCTTATGGGTCTGTCATACGTAGCCTGGTTGGGGGCTACTTTCTTGACATCTAGGCTGAAGACGTTAACCCTGCTGCTTTCTTAAAACACTTGCATTAGACTAAGCACTGTGTGCACACACAGTAGGCTTGCACTGAAGAACTTGTATTATGGCTGACTTCAGACTTCAGCCCTTTCATGGAGAGGAACAGGAGTTTGAAACCTGCCTGTTACCAGTATACTCATATATATTAATACGTGGAATTCTCTTTATTCTTTAGAAAATCAGCAAACGGCTTCATCTCTCTAAGGTCAAACACAGCAAGTTCAATGAATCTGGACAGCTGGTCGTCTTTCATCTCAGCTCAGTGATATGGTGCTTCTACGTGGTGGTGACGGTGAGTGGTCCTCGGGACTGCGGAAGGGTGGCGCCTGGGCCGCCAGGCAGCATGGCTCAACTTGGATTGCTAATAAGATCACCTCGAAGGGCTTAGCTGGAAAGAAAAAGGAGTAAGGAGCAGTGTGGAAACTTGGAGCAGTTTCTTAAAACTGAAGCTATTTTTGTATTCTCATGGTATTGTGGTGAGAAAGAGGCCAAATGATAGAGCTGGAGAGAGTCAACTTGTCCGGAAAACAATTACTTGTTATAGTTGTTGTGCGAGGTTACAGTAATGGTACTATGTATCTAGATAGCACTGTCATTTTATAGGGCCCTCCCACAAATGCTGTCCCATAAGATAAGTTTTATGTTCATTTGGGTACCCGTGTTATGGATTGTAGAAACCCACACTTAAGTTTCCCCGTGTGCCCATGCTCACGTGCCTTTGAAGTAGCAAGGACAGGGCTTGGACCTGGGAGTGTCTGGTTCTAAGTCCAATGCACTTTGTTTTACCCTGTTGGCCTGCATCCTCTTGTCTACACATCAAACCCTGTGAGAGTCGTTCCCATTCTCACAAATGCCTGGAAGACCAGTCAAGTGATCTACCTCCCTTTTCTATACAGTAGGACTCTTATTTCAAACAGCCTTTGATACAGCAAAATTCCTTCCTGCAAAGGAATGTGACGGCCCTTTGGGATTCTCTGTAACAAGATCCGGCCTGTCCTGTTAGGAAGTATTTAATTAGCATCCCTCCTCCACCCACCCTCTCTCACCACACCAGCACCACCTGTCTGTAACCTGGTCTGTTTTTCAGGAGCTAGGCTTGTTCTATGAGAAATCCAGGCCTGGGGTTGGAAAATTCAGCAGCCCTGTGTGACCATTTATAAATTTCCTTTGCTGCCTTTTATTGACACCCTCACTCCCGTTGTCTTCCTTCAGTGACAGTGATGAGCTTTTACACCCCAAGGAGCTCTCTGCCTCTGGAGCTGAACGTTGAATTCATATTCTCAGAAACGTCAACATATTCTTTTGTACATTGTTTTTATTTCTGTTATCATTTAATCACGAAACAGTTTCGAAACAGTTTTCCTGAACAGAACACTAGGAATTTTGAACGCAGGACCTAAGACTTCTGTCCTCTGAAGCAGGGCTGACGTGTTACTCTGTCCCACGGACTTACAGGTAGTCTGTGCGAGTAGCGCCCCCTGCCATTGTGCAGTGCACATTCTGACCCTGCGAAGTCTAGGTACTGCTGGATTTCATACCTCTCCCCACTGCTTGGTGTTTGGTTCATGCCTGCCTCTGGAGACCCTGAGCTGCTCTGAGACAGAACGCACATTTAACTGGTCTTTCAAGAGAAGCATTGCCTCATCTCTGAATGAATCACTTTTACCCTTTCTACCTCACCCCAGACATTCCACAGCAGCTGTGACACATTTAGACCAGATTGGAGGCCAACAGCCAAGTTACTTAACACTCCTTCCAGAGTGTGAAATGCTCAACTGCTCTGTCTTTGCTTCTCTCAGCCTTCAAGGGCTTGAAAATGATGATGCTAATTAGTCTGGGAGAATGTAGCACTTTTCTTGGGGAAGCTCATAACAGGCTTTTATTATGGTGAGAGTCAGTTCCCTACTCAACATCTCCAACAGGAAATGGAGACCTAGGGGACCCTGGAAACCTCCTGTGACCCCACCTCCTAATAATAATACCATGTAGCTCCTAGCCCTCACCTACTCCATCTGTACCATTCTGTGTGGAATGAAAACAGTTGAAGAAGAGAGGGTAGTTTTGTAAAAGAAGTGAAAATAGCTAGGTGTTTTTTTTAATCTTATTTTTTGTTTTGATGCACGTTTTACTTGGTTCTTCTCTTTCACCCTTCATAGCCAGTTCATCAGCAGGCCCTGCCAACCCTTTCTCCAGAACACACTGAGGTTGTGTTGGTTGCTTTCTACCTGCACCTCCATCTCCCATCCAGTGGTTCTCTCCAGGGGAGATTTTGCCCTCCAGGGGACATTTGGGAATGTGCTACTGGCATCTAGTGGGTAGAGGCGAGGGGTGCTGCTGAATATCCTATAGTGCACAGGACACTCACCATGACAAAGAATTACTCAGTCTCAGATATCATTGGTGCCAGGGTTGGGAAACCCTGACCTGTAGTCCAGGCCACCGTCGGCTCTGGTCCGGATCACTAAGTATCTCCCTTCTAGACGGAGGCTGTTTCTCCTCCTACACCCTCCCATCCCAGTCCATTTTCTACTCAGCCAGACAGATCTTTTTAGCATGTAAATCACATTATGCATTCCTCTGCTTAAAATCCCCCATCCTACTTGCAGTGAAATTTTTTCTTCCTGACTCCTGTGCTCTAGGCCCTGCTGGCCTTGCCCATCTCATCCCACTGGCCCCAGCCCCACCGTTCTTCCCTTGGCTGCTATGACTCTCCTGCTGTTTCTGCCTCCTGGGCTTTGCACGGTTGTTGTTCCTCTGATCAGATCCTCTGTCCTCTGACATCTCATGGCTGGTTCCTTCTTGCTGGCTACGCCTCCACCTAAATGTCGCTTCCTCAGAGAACCCCCACAATTTGTGCCCATTACTGTGGTGTTTTTCTTGTTCACGTGCATATTCTTTGCTGTCTGCCTTTCCCACTAGACTCTGAGCTGCTTGCGAGCAGGCACCATGCTCCCTACTGTATCCTAGTACAGTGCATGGCACAAACTAACTGCTCGCTAAAAATTGGTTGTGAGAATGAACGGACTGCAAATGCATCTTCTTGCTCTATCTTTCAACAATTTTTAAAGTAATAGACCGCTTTTATAAACATCATAGATGATCATTCTTAAAAAAAAGTAAGCAATACATGAAAGTTGAAAAAAGAAAGCAAAAATTTACCCCAGATCCCTCACTCCAGAAATAACCAGTTTTATATTGGTGTTTGATTCAGACATTTTTCTCTGCATTTATATAGGTGGAGTGATAGGAGTGTGGCATGGTGGATGGGCTGACTTCCCTGTCTGACTTCCTTGGGGTACCTCACTTCATATTTTAAAACCTAAAGTCCAGTGCTTAGTGAGAACGTGGTAGAGGAAACACCTTGAACGCTGGTGCTTGTGTTAGGGCTGAGTTCTGCTAATGGACTAATTACTTAAACTGGAACTTTAGTATTGGTTGTACCCGTAGGACAAATGCTATGAGGTACGTCTGACTCTAGGTAGCAACTGTTATGACTGGATTCTGCTGTTTCTATGGTTTTTGTTCTTCATACACCAAAAAGGAAGGCTGTCGGAGGAGGGAGAAAGGGAGAGATTGTTCCAGTTCAGGCCTCACTTAGCTCATAGGTCGATTTGTAGAACCAGAAGAGAACAAAGGATTTCAAAAGTTCCCGCCGACACTCTGCCAGTACCTGTCTGTGGGTGGGAATTGGGGTCGGTTATAGGTGCTCCCTCTGCCACACCTGGCTCCTTGGGCGCTCAGGTACTTGGCATGCCTGCCCCAGGCCCCTCTCAGGCAGCTGCCTGGCCCGAGGTCTGGAAAAGGCTGTTCTCAGAGCAGTGAGTCATTTTTCCTCTGGCTCCCCATGCTCTCCTCCCTCCACCCCCTCCTGCGTAGTCCCAGAAGACTGGACGTTCGCAAGCAAGCAAGCAGCATTTTTCTGGGGACTTTGCTTGCTGGCTTCAAAGTTCTGACCTCCTAGTCTCCTAAGTAAAGGGGCCAAGCTGGGGAGGGTTCCTGTTTAAAATCACAAGATCATTTGGGCTTTAGATTTCTCTCGGTGCTGCCTCCCTTGGCCAGTCTTTTTTTGGCAGAAATTCTTCTACCTCAGTCCCAGAAGTACCATTTTCCTCCTTAAATACATCACTGCTTCCTCTAGGAAGGAACGTTTTCACCTCTGTGATTTCCCTGGAATGAGGTAGAGAGTGGAAGACCACGAATTGCTGTGTGCCCAGGTCCAACATTTTCACGAAGCCACGTGTGTGATTGGCCGGGTTGTATGGCAGCCATGTGGGCTCCTCCAGCTTCACATGCCCCAGAGCCTCAGTCTGTGTGTGATGGTGGGAGTAAAGGCGGTAGTAATGAGAAGAGACTAGAAGGAAATGAGGCTGAGGGTTTGGGATGATACCTTTCGTTCAGATCTAAGTTTCCATGGCTACGCTGGCGCATCTGCATGATCGGACGACCTATCAGGTTCTTGTATTAATGAGGCCCTAGGTTGTGGGATTGGGGTTGTGGACAGTACTGGAAATGTCCCAGAGTGGGTGGATCAGTCCTCACTGGGAAGTAAACTGAGGAGCTGATGGATAGTATAACCTGGAGTACTTCTCACTAAACTGTGTTGGCTGCCTCTTTCTCCTGAGCACTGCCTACCTGCTGTTCTCAGCCTCTTCATGAAAGCCACCGGCTTCATTAATTTTTTGACTTAGTGAAGCAACCAGGCCTGAGGTTTTTGGACCAGGAAGTTGGTGGCCCAGCTCAGATTTCAGCTGTGCCACTGAAAAATCGTCTTGATTCAAGAGATCCTTCCCGTCTGTCTCATTGTTTTCCTGGTTCTAAAATGAGTTCATACTAACCTGTCTTTCGGTGGTTCATTTCCTCATGTGTTTCATAATCTTGGATTGTAAACTCATCTTTAGCAAGGTTTTATGTGTGAGAATCCTGTACATTCTAAGATGAGAGTATGTCCCAATGGTATCACTGGCTCACAACACTACTATTAATACTAATTTCATAGCCTGATGATTCCTGGATCACACAGGTGCTATAAACCTATGAACTCCAAACCTATGAGAAAGTGAACCTGAGGTTACACATTTTTAGGGGATAATATTTCTGTTTTCATCCTGAGCCCAGGATGAGGAGGCAGCTTCTTCATCTTCCTGTGTTGGTCGTCAAACTCTTTGCGGTCTACTCTTTCTCTGAGGTTGTAGCGCTTTAAGGGTCCCAATTTTTATACAAGGGTCTCAGATGTCACCTCCCAAGGCACAATCTTCTGTTTCCACATGGGCACAGAGATCTTGGCCCTCCACCTTTACCTTATTGCTATAACTTTTAGCTCCCTGTCCTTTTTGGGGTCCCAGAGGTTTTTCCTTTCTTATTGTAAGCTCTGCTTTGCATTTAAAAGAATATTTATTACATTTCATCCAGCATTTCTAGACGTTTTGTGATGAGAGGTTTTCGGGTTATATTCCTTTACTCTATAAGAGGCCCTGGGCTAGTTGCCAAAGATAAAGAAGGGCAGGAAAAGTTCACAGGCTGTAGGAACTTGCATAGCAATAACAATGCAGTGTGATATGTTACGCTTATGAGGCCTATGGGGTGAGGCGTCATAGCGAGGCCCATGGTGATGTGAAAAGCCAAACTAGGCTTTTTCCAGTGGACGGTGATTCTGGAGTCCATTTGCTTATTCATTCTCCAAGCATTTCCTGAGTGCCACATGCTAGGCATAATACTGGACACTGACACATAAACATACGTAACTGTCACATTTATTTCTAACAATAACTGGGAGGGCAAGTATTTTTATCCTCATTTTACAGATGAGCCAACTGAAGCTTGGGGACTAACTTGTTTAGAGCTTGTAGCTAGTGTGATTATAAGGCCCACATCCAGGTACAGACTCCTAACCCCAGCAGACCTCTTCCTACTCCATCACCTCTGTTTCACAGTAAAGACACTAGCCAGATGCCAGCGGGTCTGGCAATGGAGAGGTCCTTCATTCTCACGGTTCCTGTTCCTTTGTCTTTCCGGCAACTGGAGATTAGGTGCGTCCCTGACCCCTGGGTCTGCTCAGGGCCCCAGCAGGTCTCACATTCACATCTCTAAATGCCATCTCTTCTCTCCCACCACAGGAAGGATATTTAACAAACCCGAGAAGCCTTTGGGAAGACTACCCGCATGTGTACCTCCCGTGAGTATGCTCATGACTAGGTCCCTAGGGAGGAGCCAGCTGGTCCACTGGCTTCCTCATCCTAAAATGTGGCCAGAATACCAGGGTGCCAGCTGGATGGGGACCAACCATACCCCGAGCCTGTTAGGGCACAGTATCATGGAAAGCAGACTTGTCTGGGAGCTGCTTTCTCCTAGTCCCCTTGACTTGAGAATCTCAAAATGAAGTGTCATCTGCACTAGCCCCTACCTCAGAGGTACCGTCTTAGCTCAGGCTGCTATAACAGAATACCATAGACTGGATGGCTTATAAATAACAGAAATTTATGTCTCACAGTTCTGGAGGCTGAGAAGTCCAAGATCAGGGCGCCCACAGTTTCAGTGTCTGGTGAGGGCCCACTTCCTGTTCATACACGGCCTTCTCTCTGTGTCCTCACAGGGCGGAGGCGGAGAGGGAGCTCTCTGGGGCCATTTTTACAAGGACATTAATCCCACTCATGAGGGCTCTGCCCTCATGACTAAATCATTTCCCAAAGGCTCCACCTCCTGATACTGTTACACTGGGGATTCAGATTTCAACAGATGAATTTTGAGGGGGACACAGACTTTCAGTCTGTAGCAGGTTCCTAAACCATGTGAGAGATACAGAAGCAGAGAATCTCTATGAAGTTCTCCGGCTTCGTACCTTCTTGGTGACTCACTCCAGTTCACAGCACATCTTCTCTTCCTGCCTTCCATGGCTGGTGCTTCACTGGAGGTAGCATCCCCTTCCTGTCCTATTCCAGATGAGACACCCAGAGGACAACGGCTGGTCCCATGTCCTCGGGAGACCACTCTTTGCCTTTCCTAAGACTCTGTAGAACAATGACTACAGAGGCCCTAAAGCTGAGTGAGATCCTTCCTTTGCTACTTCGATCCATTTGTTCTTCAGTATATTTGCCCTGCCCTCTTCTCCACTGACAGTGCGCAAGACTCAGCTTTCTCCTCAGCCTTCTCTTCTCCAGGCTGAAGACCCACCTCTTCTGCCTTCTCTTCATCATTTTTGTTTCTTTCCATAGACTTTCTGTGTCCCTTTAAGTGGTCTTGTCTGTGGAGCAGGGTCCCCAGGCCCAGCGGTGTGGTGCTGGCAGACCTTCTTGCCTCCTTTTCTCGTTCCTCCCAGGCCTGGCCCTTGCCTTCCTCTCCTGTGTTTAGCAAACACTGCAGGGACATTTTTCTCCATCCCTCTCGTGTAACTCTCCCTTGTCTCCAGCTTCCAGGTGAAGTTTTTCTACCTGTGCCAGCTGGCCTACTGGCTGCACGCACTCCCTGAGCTATACTTCCAGAAGGTACGGAAGGTGAGTACTCATTTCCCCCTCTTGAAGCCATTTGTCCTCCCCTCCCCTCCTGCTGTTCCCAGTAATTCTCTGTCCCTCCTTTAGAAGCACAGAGCATTGGGTGGAGATGGGGATGTGTTGGCGGGTTGAGTAAAATGCTGAGTCAGCCCTTGTCGAAGTCTCCAGGAAGACCTCCATGAGAGTGTCTCTTGCCTGCCTCCACACTAGACATGTATGTGGCTTTGAGGGAGTTCTAACTCTCATCTTCTGGGTGGCGGATGGAAAAGTTTTTGCCTTTCCCACAGTCTTTTTTTTTTTTTAATAGCTTCCTTCTGAATTATTTCCAAAAGCCCTGTTCCCCAGTCCCTGTCCCTTCTTTCTCAACCCAACCCTGCCCTCTGACTACGGACCCGAAGCTGCTGCCTCACCCTCAGACTTAATCAGCAGCCTGGTGCACAGGCCTCTGCCATGATCTGGGACTGCCTGCGTTAAAGCAGGCTAGCCCTGTGGCCATGGTGAAGGTGGCCTGGCCTGCCCTCACCCCTCCACACTCCCCTCCATTCCTGCATCTTCAGTTAGGGATGAGAACATTCTCTGTCTGCTTCTTTTGTTTGCAGGAGGAAATTCCCCGCCAGCTCCAGTACATTTGCCTGTATCTGGTCCACATAGCCGGAGCATACCTCCTAAAGTGAGTGAGACTCCAGCAGCAGCCACATCTTGCCCTCGTGTCTATGCATCTCTCCAGACCTTCATTCAATTAGCAGGCATTTATTAGATGCCTTCTGTGTGCCAAACACCAGGCTTAGACCTGGGTATACAGAGATGGATGATCGAAGATTTCTATATCTTTAGTGGTTCATTCTCACCCTAGTAGGAGACAGTTGCAGACATAGTAGGAGGACAGTTGAGTGTGATAAGCGCTATACTGTGACATGTCATCTGCCAGGGAAACCCAGAACAGCAACTGTCTCAACCTGAGACAGCCAGGGGAAGCTTCTGAGGGATGTTGGCACTTGATCTGTGGCCTTTTAGGTGCAAGGCATCCTGAAGCTGTGACCAGTGGCGGAAGCTGTCAGAGCTCGCAGCCCTGGAACCCCTTTCCCTTTGATTTGTAATGAAATGTAGAGTAGTCCCTTCTTGGTTGTTTAGAAGTCAAGAGAATTGCTATGGTGTTTGGCTTTGGATGTCTTTTCTATGAAAAGATTCATTGATGAATAGGATATGCCATCACTAATTTGGGTTTTTCTTGGATGTTATCATGCAGTATAGCAGAAATACCCTCTACTTTCTCTAGGCTGGCGTTTTGGGAACTTGAGCATTGTGTAGCTTTCTGCTAAGGAACCTGGAGGTCCTGGTGCCCATGATCTCCTAGGTCCTCACAGCAGGCGCCTTGTGAGGATGATGGATTCTGGGTAACCCGGTCAGGAGGAAGGCAGGTCTCAAACCTGCTCACTCGTCTCTGGAGGCCTAGAGCAGCATCAATTCCTAGATGGGTGTGGAGGGGCGAATGCTGGGTGGTGGGGTCACCTCCGCCTTTGTGTTGGATGCCCATATGTCACCCGCAGAATAGGTCCGAGGAAGCCAGTCTGCCCTGTGACCCCAGCAGTATGTGGCGAGGGCCCGGATGAGAGTGTATAGGCAGGTCCTAATAGAAGGAAAGCTTCCTACTGCTGTTGGATCCCTGCTGTATCACTACTTCTTCTTCCCAAAGATGTGGGATGCTCCACTCCACATCTGACATGAAAAAAGGGCAGCAGCTGACCTTGTTTGTGCTGAGTTCTGTGAATTCTTGTTCTGGAATGAGAATAGGACTGAGAGGGCAGGGAGCAGCAGATCCTCCAAAATCACACCTGTCCCGTTCTCAGTGAGGCTGGCACCATTTGAAGGTGCAGTTGTGTCTCTGCTCATTTGGGTACCGTGACCTTCTTTCCCTTCTGTCCTTGTTCTCGTTTTCAGAAGTGAGTGTGGGGAAAGGAGAAGCCCTTGGCTACAGAATTTCCCACAGAAGACGGGCCTTTGAAATGCAGAATGATGTGGGGTCGTTTTGGTGAAGTGCTTGGCTTTTGGAGGTCTTTACTCACTCAAAATAGACTGAGCCCTCCTGTGGGCTGGGGGCTGCTTTAGGAGCTGCAGTTATATCTGGGTGAAGGCAGACAGGCACAGCTCTCCTGGGGTGTCTGTTCTCATGGGAGGCAGACCATAAATAAGGAAATAAGTAAATAGTTTCCTGTGTGGTAAGTGCAGTGAAGAAAATAAAGCAGGGCGATGTAATGGAGCGAGTTGTGCCCTTGCACCTTTGGTGTGGTGAGGGAAGGCATCTCTGAGGAGGTGACTCAGGTTGAGGTGTGAATGACAAGAGCCAGGTATGGGGAGATCTGGGGAGAGAGCTGGGCAGGCGAAGGGAACAGCTGGTGCACAGCCCTGAAGTGGGAGTGCGCATAAAGCCCAGGGTAGCTGGAGTACAGAAAGTGAGGTTTGAGGCGAGGTCATGGGCGGGATCATGTTGGACTTTCGGGGCCATGCGAAGACATTGGGTAGTTTGCACATCATTCTTTTGACCTGTCCCAGGATCCAGTGACTGTTATGATAGAGTTTGCGCTTCTTTGGTCTCATTGGGTGGAATTGGCCAGATCCTTATGGATCACTCACTGCCTGAGTGAGTGAGCTAATGAGTGCTCCTACGTTATCTCATTGACTTCCTGAAGCCCCGCATGATCAGCAGGACCTGTCATTTCGCTTTGCATTTGTTTGAATGACAGCTGACCATCTACAGCAAAGTGCCTAAGAAAGTCAGTAACAACTTCATGCCTGGAATTGAGCAGAGGGGTTGATGTCTGAGTGGACGCTCATTTTTTAGAGGTTAGTTCTCTAGCACAGAGTTTTGTATTATGTTGAGTTTTGCTTCTTCATGCACTTCTTAGCTGTGAAGACTTGGATAATGAAGAAATCGGGCAGTGGCAATCCCTCATATTTCTACGAGCAAAGCTCAGCAAATTGTTCTGAGCACTTTTTATGCCTGGGCCAGGTGATGAATGCAAGGTGACATATGCTATGA